GTGAGTTTTTTGCGGATTGCGCTAATCTCTAGTCGACCACTGTGCGCTTCCGGCATGACTTTCCTCAGACGCCTATTTTCAGTTTTATTAACGCGATTTTTATTTCAAATATGATCGTTTCCCATCACGATTATCGATCCGACGGATCCGTGTACATTTTAAAGGACATGTTGCGGTTTCCAAGCTTTCTGATGGTCTATTAATATCCGTTGATGGCGTATATCCACAGACAGGGGAGTAAGGGAGTCTCAAATGGCATGGCGGCTGCTAAGCACAAGTTGGATAAAAAAAAACCCATAATTTCGCTGACATAATTCTCATAAAGATAATGTGCACATTTTTCTCATAAGCCCGCATCGTTGTACCAACTTTATGAGCAATTTCTGTAGCAAGATGACGAATCAAAAGCCAGCGCCGGCTTATCTTTAAACGCAAGCATAACTGCATGGCGAGGAGCGCTCAGAACGGCGGATGTTCAGCCCCTAATGGCGTTAGATAATTTAGCGGCTGTCATGTAAAGACAATGATTGATATTTTTCTTGAGATTCTTAGGCTGGGTAGGCAACAGCTGAAAGATTTTCTCTTACTGAAGCTGATTACTGACAGAAATGGCCACTGTTATTCCTGTGAAACGTTGATTCGATGAGTAAAAGATTTTTCTAAGAACAAACAGCCTCTTTAAATTCTACTCGACGCATTATTAATGGGAGGTTCAAAATTTTAGTAAAGATTAGAATACGGAAAAATTGAGTCAACAGCACAAGTCCATTATATCTGTCTTTTACGTATGTATGTCGATGGTTGCAGACTGATCAAAAAGGCTTTTGTTCGGCTTATTTCATCGCGACCCTGGCAGTAAATTGGAGTGTACGCCAGTGTTTTAAGTTATGGCACCACCCAACTGAATTCATACATTTACGAAGAAGGCAAAATCCATGTCAATTTCCGAGAACTAAATTTAACCATTTTGTACAAACTTTTAGACAATTAAGTTGCTCTTGAATGAGATGACGTGGATGTAATGGTAAAAAGCAGACTTTGTGGACTTTGAGCAGAGTTGGAATCCAAAAACATCTCCTGAATAAGGAACATCCCTGCTTCGATGTTGGTAGATAGTTAGAATTGGCGAGGACTACCGCAACCATGCTGTCTGTTGCATGCATTGCTTCTAGCAGCATAGGGAACCATTTAAGCAAATCATGGTTCCATAGTGTTTGAGTACCTCCAGTGCCTGGAGGCAAAACCGCATCACTGAGCTGCTAGTACGCTGTTTAAATTCGGCATCAAAGGAGCAAATGTTAGATAAAACATCACTGACTTTTACTGTTCGTTTCTTGTCATCTGGATAATTAAGCTTCTAGGCACTCTATGAATAATACGCTGTCAAATCGGTATGAAGCGGGTGCGTACGCCTATTATTCATGCCTTTGCGACAAGGGATGTTAAATACAGTTTGCAGAATGGTTTTAGCAACGAGATGTAATTGAAATCCTCGTGACGTTGCGTGGCCCTGATGTCACGTTAAGGTTCAAAGTACACTGGAAACGCATATGTGAGAAGCAGCATTTTAGAGTGCGTTCTAAATCGCTAGTGCATTCTGTTTCAAAGGGACTCAAAGCAACATAAATGAGGAGCGAAGATGGACTATAGCCTTCTTAATTAGCTTTTCCAGCGCTGTTGATGATGTCAAGCATATATCAGACCATGTCAGCCTATCACTAACGGTCACGCTGATGTATTTCGCATTATTCACTCAACTAATCAGAGTCAGGAGTATATTTGCTTTTTGGGAAGATGATAAATCCCCGTGAGTGACATCACTCTAGGAGCTTCCTCCTGTCCTATGTGCTATACTCGTTCAGGTTTTCACGATATTTTACAACTTCAACGATGGTACTGTCACCATGAATCAATGAATCATGCTAGTTAATGAACAACTTTTACCTTTTGCTCATCTTCCAAAGTTTGTTTGTCCCTGTGTGGTCTAATGCTCATACTCAGAACGTTTAATTAAATTTCAACCCGATGCTTTTGTAGGTTATTGGCTCAAAGAATGAGTGGCATTTTGTCAGCCCCGCGCTGCCTCATTCACGAACCAGACGAAGCGTTCTTCACTACCGGAAGCTGAAGAAAGATCCCGATGTGCACTTCGTGCTTCAGCAGGAGGGCTTCCGCCGCGTGAAACGGGGATTCAGGCAACTGAAAGAAAGATTGAAGGCGGAAAAGGCGGCTGTTTTGGCGAATTCACCGACGGACCCTCTTTATCCATTTCAGTGGTATTTGGTAAGTGACCGTTTCTCGAGAAACTAGTATAAACCTAATGGAAATCGTGCAGAAAAACACCGGTCAGTTTGGAGGCAAGGAACGACTCGATTTGAACGTGGAAAAGGCATGGGCGTTAGGATACACCGGCAAAAACGTGACCACGGCTATCATGGACGATGGTAAGTGATCAAATCCATACTTCTGTAACTTCAAGGGGTACTTTTTCAGCGGTTTTGTCAGCAGAGCAGAAGACTGATAGCGGGTATAAAGCAGCAGCTAAAAAATAAATTATATAATAATAAATAAGCGAAAACGAATAAATAAATAATTTTTGCTGCATAATTGTTTTGCTATTTTTTAATGCAATTACTACTCATTTGTTTTAACATAGTATATTTTGAACTTAAAACAGAACTTAAACTGATCTCTGAAACCTCATGTTATACCAGTTGCTTAATAAGC